GCATGGATGGGTAAAGTTCCTCTCTTCGACGCACTCATTTCTTAGAATTTTCTAGAATTGCCTACAAACTTCGGCTGCTGCGAAACCTTCTTGATTGTGGCTGGTTGGCAACAGACTTCGAAGCTCCGAGGAATCACAAAAGGAATTTTTTTCCGTCGTTCATTTCGCTCCCATAATGTTTTTGACTCATCAAAATGCCAACTATAAAAGAGATGGCAGTCAGCAAACTATCGACTGATAAGGCAAACCTGTGGTGTTTGTCAAGATCATGAGCAAGTTGTGAGTTGTCAATCCATATTTGCTAAATCCCGATAAATATTAGAAGCAGTATAGAATCACTTGAGATTTGGCCAACCTAATTCTGAAGGAGAGATCGCGAAGAGTGTCCTGCATCCGTCATTGAACAATCCCGAGGCATCAACAAATACCATTGTTCCTCTCCTAGAACAGCTTGTTGGGAGGTGGCAGTCGATGGGACCCCGAAGAGTCCACACATGTTTATCGTGAGGATCTTCTGCTGAGCACTTCCTTGTCAAATTTTCTGTCACCAAGGTCATTGCACGTTCCCCATCCTTTAACTGGAGAACAGGGAACACATCCTTGTGGCTTTTTGTTCATTACAAGTGGCATACTAGATCCCGCAGCTTATCATTGCGCTATTGGGTTAGAAAATTGCCATAATATATGGGAAAGGTCATATTTCATTCAAATGACTTTGTATACTTGTTTCTATTTTCATATTGACCGGTTAAAGAAGAGGCGATCTATTCTCGCTAATAGCTAGCTTCATCGAGATTCTTTTGGAGTGAAGAGTCGAAGTTGCCCACATCATTTGATTCCGGTGCTCATTCCTAGAGACTGTGCTCTTCTCTGCGGTCGGTTTTTGCTGCTTCAGTTACGTTTTCTTCGCCGTCTACGCGTCTCATCCTGTCGGATTTTTTTGTAACATCAGTTGTGTCATTCTTTTGTTGTAGCTCTAGCCGCATTCTCAAATTGGTCAAGGTGAAACTTGAATCAATTCCGAATTGGGACCTGCGGAACTTTAACGTTAGGCTATATTAGGCTTTGTGTAGGCCTATTATAAACGACTATTGGCTGAGGCATGTGCAGATAAGACAGTATCGCCAAGAACGTCGAAAGCAGCATGTGAATAAAATCCAGTGTCGCCATCATAAGCCAATTTAGACGTAAGTGAAGCCTTAGGCCGATTCAGTTGACGTATGCCCTAGTTCTATTGCTGCGCAGGCTTGATATGGATAAGGTTAGACCTGATTACCATAGGTCTGGCCCTGACATTAGGAGCCAGTGTCATTATGTGATAAGCCTTTGGCAAGCTTGCCGTTTGGCGTAAAGGATGGGCATGTTTTTGTTTTGTCAGGCATAGCCTGAGTTGTGTGGAAAGCCTCACGTTAGCCTATGAAAGCCTGAAGACCACATATACGTCTAAGCCGTAGTCCTGGGCCCATGGTGAGCCTATTCTTAAGGGGTGCTCTTTTGGTCTCTTTAGGTGACAGTTGCCTGGTTGTACTATGAAAAATGAAATTTGCGCAGTGTGAGGAGAGTCAGGGTAGGCCTATGTCTTAATTCTAATCAACTAGGTTTAGTCCTAATTAATGTAGTTTTAGTTTACTGTGACTTTAGATTGACTTCTACTCTCACACCTTCTGTTTCCAAGAGTGCTCACTTGACAGTAGTAATTGCAAGTATAATTGTTGGTAAGTGGGTAAAGCAATGAAGCCCATGTTCTGACACCCTTGCCCTAGTGAGGGAACTTCTGCTTCACAACTTGATGGAAGAGTCCAAAGAAAGACAGAGACCACCTGTGATTAGGGGAAAAGCTCAAAAGTAAAAAACCCTGTAACCTTATAGTTATGCCATTAACTTTTGTAATCCAATGTCATGCTTATAGGTCTAGATACACTTTAGAATGACTGATTATATATCATTTCTCAATGAACACACTGGTTGGTATTTGACTCAAATCATTGTAAGACTTTAGGTCATCAGTCACTCATTCTTTTATCAATTAAAAAAGAAGAAATGTGGAGTAGGAAAGCTTGTAAGTATACTGTTGTTTCTCCCAGATACATCTGGGATTCTATAGCTGATTTGCTGTGGGGAACTAGGACATGAGATTAGAGTATATTATGAAAAAGCAATATTTTTGGATAGCCATGATGTTAAAATCATGGAATGCAACAGGAACTTATACCACCAAATAAAGACAATATGGACTTCAACAATATTCACACTAATTAAACATTTGTGCAGAAGTTATGTATTGGAGAGGAAAAGAGCCCTTCATGTTTAAACATCATGTTATTTGGAGGGAATTTTTTCAAGTAATTTCATGGGTGACAAGCCCCCTCCCTGCTTTTTCCACCTAGCATTGGCACCTGTGAGCCAAGCCCAGCCCCTAGGAGTTCATGAAGGGGGAACCTACTTATACTAGGTGTATGGAAGTGACTATTTTGTGGGTTGGGACTAGGATGAAATGGTGTTACAAGTATGGGAATAACTTTTATGGCCTACCTGCTTTCATTTGCAGTCCTTCAATGTCCCCTTGTAGCTTCACGAATTTTGGTGGTCTTTAATGAGTCCTCATGAAACCTTGAGAGAGAAAGAGAGAAGTGTAATAGCATGCGTAAATCTCCCAGGTTTATGCATGCTGTTATACTTGCATGAAAGCTACTCACTAGACCAGACCATGCTGACAAATATTTGTTATGCTCTCATGAAAATGAGAAAGAACAAATACCTGAAAGTACTCTTATAGATACGATGTCTATGGAGGATATTAAGTTACATTCATGCTCTTGCATGGTCCCCTAAAAAGTATGGAAGTGTGTTGAGCAGACATGTTTTCCCCTCCAGGGTGTGAGTAGCCCTTGCCACCCCTCTTGCCCCTCTCCCTAGGTCAGCATGAATGATTATATTCCCCTTGGTTTATCTCAGACCTTGTTAATACAGGGTGTCCATAAAGTGGTTCCCCATGGGCAACTTTTTTCATAAAGAATCTGGGGGAACCTCCTTTGTATTATTTTTGTAGCCTGTTTGTCAATAGACCTCAGAATGGTCTTGCATCTTTCGTTCCTCTACTCTGGTGTGACAAAATTCATTTACCAGACTCTTGTTTCAGTTACAGGTTCAGAAATTTGGAGTATAACATTCTGAATCAAGTGAGAGACATGCATTATTTGCAAGGACAAGCCTACATATCTAAACAACTCAACAGAGAATATCTTCTGTGCCATGTGCCAGATAAGTGAGGGAATACTCAGATGTTGGTGACAATGCAATTGCTAGGACTCAGAATTGTCAGAAAATTGGTGATTGACACATTGAACCATTTTGTTGAGTAAACTCCTAATTCTTTATTTTGAATTCCCAGAATACTCTATTATTCAATCAATATCATGATGATTGCAAGAAGTGGGTGCAATTAGATCAATGGAATATTTGACACTACTCTGTGGTCATTACATTTTGGGTCTTTAAACATTAAAAAGATGGCTACTTTAGTGTCAATAATAAGAAAGTTGCCTGTTTGTACTCACTTTATGGACACTTTGTACTTATGCACTGCTGTAGGATTGGAGAGTCAGGAAATAGAGGGAAAAGTAACAGAACTCTCTTTTAGGAGAGTTTCCTCTGTCCAGTACACTTCCCATCATTGGGTCCTCATACCTTCAAGGGTGAAATTGCTGTGCCACTAGCATTGATGGCTTGCCTGTGTCAAAGTATTTCTGAGGGAGACCATGCACTTTAATGTATAAACCTCCTCTTACAAGGATCACTTTATGAGAAATTCCAATTTTCTCATAGTGTATATCTTTCATGGAATATGGTTTTGAAAATGAGCTACATCTGCCTCTCATATGGGGGCCCTTTTTTTAACCCTCTATGCTCAAGAAACTTTTCCTCCAAGGGTAAATAAACCAACCTGAACTTGAGTGGTGTATGCCTGAGCTTAGTGTGCATGTGATGTATGTCTATGTGGACATAATTTGTGTATAATAAATAGATACTGTATTACTGAGATTTGAGTAGAGGTTATTGGTTATCGTACAAAAGAAAAGTATAGGAAGTTTACAAGACAAGAGCCAACTGCCAGGGGAGGCACTTCAGAGTGGCCATCTGACCTCCTTTACTGAAAACCTTGTGTTAAGGTGCTTGGATATTTTAGATTGAGTCAATTGGTTCCTTTGCATTCTGGTTACATTTATTATTCTGCATAGTATATAAAGGTGCAGGTGTTCTGACATAGCTAAATACAAACATTTTAAATAAAATTTCTTAAAATTTCCTGGTTTCTCCACCTTGCAAACAATTTAACCAAGCACATCAGAATGTCTTATGGCCTATTGGAAGTCTGGCATATTCATTTGCTCCAGATGCATTGTGCTCACATTGACTGCTGGATGATATGAAAGAGAAAACCATTTTAAAATGTGATTTAACTCTTTTGACCCCAGTGATTTAAGTGCACTATGGACACATGACATCATATGGGTATGGGACTGAAAGTGTCAATAGGAATTCATGGTTTTCTTGCACATCAGCCTTGGCCTGAAAGTATACATTTGCATTTGCACCATCTATGAAATAATAATCGTCGTGACAGCAAATTATCATGAAAATACTCCAACTATGCTTTGCTGAAAGTGGTCTTCACTCTGATATCTCTGCTTCTGGATTATTCTTGTCCATTTGTGAAGAACAACCAAAGAACCATCCTCACCAGATTTCCAAATATAAAATGGCCACCAATACCTATGGCAGGGCTAATAGTTGCATTAAAGAAGTTAGAAATTTAGTGAGAAACTAAGCTTTTGTTTGGCTAGATATTCTTGAAGGAATTTATAAGTTTCATCAGGAATTTTGATGTTAGGTTGTTTTGCTGTTAGTAAGGACTTGTATAATGTGGAAAAAGGGAACTCCCTTTTTTAACTTTCCTAGCCTAATCTATTGTATACCTTATTTGAAATTGTATATTCAGAATTTATTCCTCTTTCCAGATTATTATCTTTTTTGATTAGGCCTATCAACTGCTGGGAAATAGGACCTTTCTCCTTAAGGAGATATGTGCATCTTAATTGTCATACCCTGGAGGCCTTAATGTTGGAAACAAGCCTGTTTTTGACAAAATGACCATAGTGATGCGGGGGACTGAAGAAATGACAAACGAGGAGGCTGAGGCAAATGAGCAGCGCCTCAACACTGTCAACTACATGGATGCCAATAACACGGTGAGAAAGCATTCTGGCAGTTGTGTGCTTGTCCTGTAATGGTTCTTCCAAGCATAGCAAAACCATAATCTTCTTCAAAAGGGAAATGAAACAGGCATTTGATCCAGGCAGAGAAGCTGAGTCTAACTCAGTTACATTCATATGTCTAACCTAAAGGTAAGGCTATGCTGATGATTTTGAAATTCATGTAAGTGAGCAAGCTCACCCCATGTGAATAAGTGTAATATCTAAAAGTAATGTGTATGTGCTATTGTAATATCTTTATGATCCTTAATGGGTGATAGCAGTTGAATTAATATTGCAGCTGGAGAGCGATGAGGGACTTGGGGGCAATGAAGGTGAAGAAAATGGTGAAGTAGATTTGGAACCAAATTTCCCTCAAACAGAACTGGTGCGGTTGAATGACATGATCAACCGCACTAGATGGGTTGTCCCTGTCCTTCCTGGTGGAGAACTAGAAATCCTCTTAAATGCCTCCATAGATCTTTGTAGACGAGGTTTGTGTTGGCTTCCTTGCCTTGGATTTTTTCTAGCCAAGCAGCATTATTTTTATGAGAATGGTGTGTGATTTCTTCTTCCAGGCTTGGACACAAAAAGTGCTGAATGTCAGCGCTTCTTCAGGGAAGGCCTTACGATATCATTTACAAAGATATTGACAGATGATGCTGTGACTGGATGGAAATATGAAATTCATGTGAGTCCCACATCTCCAGTGTCTCTTTTTTGACTCTCAAATTATAGATGTCATTTTGATTATTTTTAATGCCTTTGGACCCCCCCCTTTTCTCTGCAGTCGGCAATCATGCGTAACTGTGATCGTCTAGTTGAACTGTGCGTATTAAAACTCGATCAGGATTGGTTCCCCCTTCTGGACCTTTTGGCTATGGTCCTCAACCCTGGAAACAAGTGAGTTGTCCCTCATTGAATATGTGACTTCATTTCATGCCCAGATTTTTTTCAGTAATTGTTTTAAAATTTCTTGAATTTCATTTAATTTTTGTTGATTGTGATGACTGTGCAGATTCCATACCTTCACAAGTAACCGGCCAAGCGAAACAGTGCCCCCTGGAGCTGTAGAATCAGATGAGTACTTCGCCCAGCCACAGGATCCCCGCACACCCCGTGGGTGGCTGGTGGACCTAATAAACCGATTCGGCAACCTAGGCGGGTTCCGCATACTTCTCGATCGGTTTCAGTCTGGTCAGAACTTGAATGTCCCCGTGATCTATGCGCTTTTGCGCCCCTTCGGCCTCTCCTATGAACTTCTCACTTTACCTACAATTGAGAAATACTTCTTGCCTATCATTGTGAGTGAATTGGTTCTGGTATCTCATGCTAATCATTTATGTTGTGTTTACATGATCTGCAGGTACTGATGTATCAATTTTAAACTTTGCCAATAATATGATGCCCCCTTATCTGTTGAGCCCTTCTAGGTTCATCTCCTGATATGAAAACCTGTCTCATATTGTGTGCCTGATAAGTTTGTTGTAAAAAAAATTTGTTTTATCATTCATCATTGTCTACAAAAGCTGCAGTCCAGTTTGCCTCATGCAGTTTGTTTTTGCCTCTAGCCTTTGCTTACTCATTTTTCATGATGGGTTACTTTTTATGTTGCATCCATTCTATGATGAGGCACAGTTTACTGTGGTGATTTGCTTGAAATTAAATTGGTCTGCTGCACTTAATTGAATGAGTGGTCAAAAAAGGCATCAGATAAGCAATTGAGGGAATGCAATTTAGGTGAAGTCATGATAGGAAGATCTAATATAGTTCAACAGGGTTCCATTCCATTTGACTTACTTGACTGGTAGTCCAAACCTTGATGTTTTTTACATTCTTAACGTTTTTGTGGAAAACAGCATCGCAATGATGCTTCCAATCTCTTCTTGATTAATGAAATGAGTTATATTAGATGTGAATTTTTCAGCTAATGATGATTCTCATAATTTCCATTTCACCAATTGTGCTTGAGGCAAATTGAAATTGATCATTCCTTGTGACAAGACTTACTGTAATGAATTTGTCCGAGGCCCTCATATAGCCAACGGTGTACTTCTCATCGTCTATAGATTTAATTGCTATTCATGTTATGAAACATGAATTCATGTTTTTGGATTCTTTACTCCATCCCAGTCATTAATTATGTCTGGGTGGGGGGAGGACATTTTCAGATTTCAAGAGCATGTTCTGATGCAGTGAGAATTATTCAAGCTTTTCCAGCTCTATTAGCCACAGATTTCAGGATCAAAAACGTCCATCATTTCTTGATCCTGAGGTAATTGTACTTTCAGGAAAGAGGATAAGTTAGTCTGATACCATTGATACTACAAATATTGGTTGATGTGTCACTGCCAATGTCAATCTTGGTGCATCTCTGCTGAGAGAGGTGTCTGAAGATTCTGATTTGATTTATTTTGTCTGTATATTTTATTTTGATGGAATCATCTGAACGTATATTATACTAAGTATTCATGCTGTCATGTCTGTTTTGAAAACATTGTGGATATTATTTCTTCACCCTGAGCTCTGTAGAGAGTACTACCTGTACCTGTATCTTTCTACTTGTATTTTTCCAGTACCTGTATTTTTCTCGCCACAATCTGGGCAAGTTCTTGCTGCAATTAATGTGGGGGGGGGGGTTGCCATACAGGAGGGAGAGCCAGGCCATCAAGATGGCAATAAAAATCATGGGCTTCTCCTTCTATCAATAGTGACATCCAACAACCCTGCTTTATGTCAAGGTTTATTAGGCCTGATATTTACTGATTCAAAATCACTAGTTGCCTCTGAATCCCATGCAATAGGAGCCTACCTTTCTGTGCCTGTGGCATCATTAAGTATACTCCTTTGGGAAGTATGAAAGTTGGATTTGTCTTTGTGGATTATGTTTCAGGAGGCTTATCCTCATTTTTATTTAGCCATGTTGCGATGAGGGAGTCGGTTCATCCATGTTCTTATGAATCCTCTTGTGGTTCTAATTAAATGATACAGATGGACTAATATCATGTGGGGTCTATAAAATGACAATGTAAGGTTTCACATATTGAGGCACATCTCACCCTCGCATCCATAGGAAATGGTGCCGAAGCACCTGGAGAACCTGCCTGACTCTGAGCTGAAGAAGGAGGCAAAGAACGAGAGCTCCAAGAATGATGCCCTGTCGGCCATTGTCAAAGGCCTCAAGTGCCTGGTGTCCCGGCTCACCTCGCACCCGAACCTAGAGGACCTGATGAAGCGGCTGGAGATCTTCCGGCTGAAGATGATCCTCCGCTTCCTGCAGATCTCATCCTTCAACGGGAAGATGAATGCATTGAACGAGGTGAACAAGGTGATATCCAACGTCTCGTACCCGCACCGACACCCTGGTGGCCTTGAGGAGGAGGAATGGCTCACCGCTCAGCGCATGGCTGTGAGTTCATCTTCAGCATTTTTTTATCTTTGGTATCTTCATGTGGCGTTTTTGTGTGAATGTCAGCAGTTAACAGGGGTGAACAGTAGGGATAGTTTTTCACTGATGCCTTATGCCAAGGTTGATACCTAATACTGATTGTGGATGATAGAAGGGGGACTTCTCCCACTCCAGCTGATAAGTGATTTATGCCAACATTCAATGAAGCCACTGCTCCAAAGGTTGAATTGTGATCTTGTAAAATATCAATTTTATTTTTATTTTTCTCTGGAAGAAGGCAAGAAACCTTTGACCCAGGCCAATAAAGTGTAAACTCAAGGTCCTAGACTGAAAAAATCTCCAGAAAATAAATGTGAACTGCAGGAAAATATTCGATGCCAGCAGTATTTGTTGCTTGGGAGAGGCTGAAAACTCTGCAAATTTGTTTTTATTGAGAAAAAGTGAAATGAGACTCTGGTGACATGGTTGATGTAATCGTTTTACCCAGGTCTCAGCCACAGAGAATGAATGAAAAAATGCAGCAGCTTGTTTTTACATGGGGGGAAGCAGGAAGCACCTGTTAGATTCCTATGAAATTGGATGAGTATGTTAACGCCTGGCCATATTCGTGTGCGTATATCAACCCTTTTTCATGTGGACAATTTGTCTTAGATGGCTTTGATGATCCCATGTCGGAGGCCAAATCCAATGGTTGCCAATGTGTAGGTGTAGCCCTCGTCGGGAGCCTGTGTGCACAGACATAAACTGTATCAATGTTGATGCTGAGAATGCGTTCACAATTGGTAACTAAAGCGATGGAAGTATTCTGGTGAACTGTGTGTAATTTAAAAAAAATCAATTTCCCTTTTGTGCATTCATCTGCTTCCCCTGTTGCCAGTCAGAGGTAAAAAAATACATTTTGTCCAAGCTGCTGCAGAAGGTTTACATAATCATCAAATGAGGGATTGAGGAGCGTGAGACAAAATTTTACATCAATGCATGAGTCTCGAAAATGTTAAATGAAAGGAAGTGTTGGTGAAATCAGAATAGCTTCAAATCATTAATTTTTACTTTTGAAACCTTTCAGGAATGGATAAAGGAGAATGAGGTGCTACAAATCGTGTTGCGGGACTCCCTGCACCAGCCTCAATACGTGGAGAAGCTGGAGAAAATCATCCGGTTCATCATCAAGGTGAGTGCCCTCTGCTTGGGTCCCTTGCTGTCAGTGCCAATGGGGCTTGTGGCAGACTGGCACACTTGATCCTTGGAGGGAAGCATGTCAGCCTGCCATAAGCATTTCAAACAAGTTGTTTGAAGTAGAAGTTACTTGTGGTTGGATGATCAATGACAGATGGAACCCACTTGGTTCAGGAATGAAATTCTGAACTTATTCTGTCTCGCCTGGTCCTGGGTTTCCAATGTCTCATGTATTCAGGTAGTTTTTATTTGCACTAAAATAAAGGGTTACCTATGAGAATAAAAATTGTCTGGCAACTTGTGTACTATTCATGAAAGGGTGCACTATCAGATATTCTTGATGGTCTAAGATTTTCAAGAATTATGTAGCGATGAAGGAATTTTTCACCTGGTCTCCCCATGCTGTGGAAAACATTGCATATCGTGATATTAGCTATCCGGTTTAGTTTAACATTGCAATGCTTCAAATGCTGCTTTGCACACTTGTTGGTGATAACAGGAGAAGGCCCTGACAATGGAGGACCTGGACACGATCTGGGCAGCGCAGGTGGGGAAGCATGAGGCCATTGTGAAGAATGTGCATGATCTCCTCACCAAACTGGCTTGGGACTTCTCACCTGAGCAGCTGGACCACCTCTTTCAGTGCTTTCAGGTCTCCATTTCCCATCCTCTGAGGTCAGTTTCTTGGGGTAAAACAGCTATATATGATCCTGTGGCTTTCCAGACGAGTTGGAGCAGTGCCAATCAGAAGCAGCAGGAGAAGCTCCTAGAGTTGATCCGACGGCTGGCCGAGGATGACAAGGAGGGGGTCATGGCGAATAAGGTTCCTTTGTTGTTTTCATCTCAATTGCGGGTGGGAAGCCACATCAATGAGTGCCATTGTTTCTCTGTGCAGGTGCTGAATCTCTTATGGAACCTGGCCCATTCAGAGGACGTCCCAACTGAGATTATCGACCAGGCACTGACAGCGCATGTGAAGATCCTTGACTACAGCTGCTCCCAGGACCGGGATGCGCAGAAGCAGCACTGGCTCAACAAGTGTGTGGAGGAGCTGCGGGACAAGGATGTGTGGGTCATCCCGGCGCTCAAGCAGATCCGTGAGATCTGCGCCCTCTATACAGAGGCCCCACAGAATTTTGTCCACACGCAGAAGAATCCTCACATGCTCTATCGGTTCGACCCATTTGCACTTTACTACTTGCATTTTTTTTTGCATGTGTGTGTGGCCACCACTCGTCTCACGACAAAATCGGATCTTTTGGGCTCTATGCATCGCACTGAAAAATATCTTGGTTTTCCTTTTATCAATTTGCATGTCTTACCTGGCTGTCAAATCCACTGTCCAACTAACATGCTGAGAGACACAATAGTCCTGTTGATTCTTTCAACTCACACCTGCCAATCAGTGTTTCTGCCCTTTCCAAGCATGAGATGTAGTCTGAGGAATCTCAGTATCCTTATGTATGGATTGATCATCCTTGTCTGCATGTATTGAAATACATTTTATTCATATGTATTTTATGAAGCGATGGAATAAGTTTTATTCATGACTAAATGAATACCAGAACTGGTTAGAATTTCATAGTTGAGGGTTCTCTGTATGGTTATGTAATGTTGGTGTGGTGGAATTCCACATGAATTGAGAAAATTGGGTTAGTCTTAGGCCAAGTGAATGGGCCCTATGTAATGTTGGCTTAAATATTATACATCCATACCTTATTTCCTAGGGAAATAAGGTATGGATATACAGGGTGTTTTTTTTTTAAACACAACTTATGAAAATTTTTGCCACCTGTTTGTGGAGTTCAGTGCAGGCCTTACAGCTCACTGAGTTGCATATCTGAATGGATGAACCCTATGACCGGTGTGTTTTCTTGTAGATAGGCAACTTGGTGGGCTTCGTAGCATTTGCGGTTTTCCACCTACAGGCGCAAAATATTCCCTTTGTTGCGTTTAAATATGAACACCCTGTATATGGGTATATCCTTTTATTATCCTATAATACAGTAGTAGGATTTGTAATTCTAGGAACGTTGCATATTTGGCGTGTCACTTCAAAATTAACAGGACATTCTGGAGATTGAAATTATCTATGTTAACTGCTTTGAGACTACTGATGACATCATCAGCTGCCAATGAGGTGTTTGTAGCAGGAGCAGTAGGTCAGGGAAGATTCTGTCTGGAGTGTATTATTAGCATAATCACATCCTACTTTGCATCCCATTTCTTTGACCTATGTATTTCAGGGGGGGGGGATGGTTCCTGAGTGTGGTTGGGCACACTCAGGAACCACCTCTCAAGACCCTGCACATCCCCAAGTTCTGTCAATACACTGAGGCTAGGAGTTAAGAGAATCTTGAATGAGGAGAGTGACTACATTTAAGGAAAACTGTGAAGAGGAATGAGCATAAAGTTTAATGCTTGATTTTCACATTGAATTTGAAAATCAAGCTAAGTGTTCATGCTGTAATCTCTTTGCAGCTGCCATGGGTATAAACAAGTTGCAATGAATCAGCTGTGTGAAAACTGCAGCCATGTTTACATCTCTCCTTGCTCATTGGTTACCATAGAAAACCATTGACTTCTATTGATCAATTGTGGCAGGGTGGAATGTCAACATCATTAAAATGTAAAAATGAACTTCAACAGTAAGGTTTTCAAATTATTTTCTTCTATAAAAATTTGGTATGAAATTATGCAATGTAATCTGGGTCAGGTCAAAAGGTAAGAATTGGTTAAGAAAACTGGGAAGAGTTTTCTGGACAATATCCATTCTTACAGATACCTGTAGGTTGTTTTGGATGTGACAGTTTCATAATTTTTTCATGTGATGCAAGACTCCAATGGTGTTCTAAATTTGTTATTCACATCTTTCATTGATGAGTCTTGTGATCACAGTGAATTGCCTGTGAACATTAGTTCTTATTCATAGAAAAATTTTGGATTGTGTGCCTTTTGATGGGTATTTCACTTATATTTTATTGAGAAATTTAATTGAACTGTTTTATCTAGCTGCAATCACATGGCTGGCTGGGTGCTAACATTCCTATATGTCATATTAGAAATCAGTGTTTCTTACCCTATGAAATTTCATGAAGTGTTTTGCATTTTCCCAATGTGAATGTTTAAGTTTCAAAGTTTCCAGAGTAATTATCCCTGCTATAGTTAGGGTCTGTGCATTCAGCCCATGAACTTCAGGAGGGTTTAGAACCACTTTTCTTCCCTGTGGCAAATGTGACACAATGATGTGGCACATGGCAGTCAGTGTGTTAAATGGTTTTGGTAGAGGACTGCAGTGATAAAAGAACTCTATCATATTGTTCTAATTCACTGATGAAATTTAGTTAGGCTCATGTATTTTGCAAACAGAATTTAGCCTCATGATCTTGTCAAGCCTAGCCTATGTACTGCATGTGTGCCTTGAAAACCCCAGTGTTGTATGTACTTCCCATTATGCTGTCATTACCTTTCCTATTGCTTTATTTTCTTGTCTGTCACACTGGGTTGGTTCAAGAAATCTGTCTCTCACAGCATGTTTTTAGGTTAAAGAGCTTCTGCAGTGTTGTACAGGGTGTCCCAAAAGTCACAGTGCACTTGATGCTACATGTTTCACGTGCTTGAAAATGGTTTATTGTTATCTATCCTTTACTATTTATTACAACACCTGAAAGCCACAATTACCACAACCATTATAATAAATATTTTTCAAACATGAAATGTGCACAGTGGTTTTGAGACACTCTGTATTCATGTTCTGGCATGGAAATGGCTGACAAGGTATCCTGTGATTTCTTTTGCTGCTTGAATGTCATGTAATCCTTCACTCCTAGACTTATTTGAAGTTTATATATTTCAACTCTGACTACCATTAGACCCACTGGTGGGCTAAATACTGCTCTACTTCTATTTGCTCTTTAAAATTCTTGACAAAAAAAAGGAGGCCTTGTCGGTTAACTGGAATGCTTGTGTTAGCTTCATGCACCAGGCATGAAGGCCTGGTTAGCATTCTAATCACCTGCAATTTATCAAACACCCTATTAACTTGTCAAAATTGTCTCTGGAGATCTCAACTTGGCACTGCCTCATTGTTCAACTCTCAACAATGGCCCTATAGTGTAGTGGCTTGAAGGAAAGAGAAAAGGAAACTGGTACCTTCAATGGTGCTGCCATCTATCCCAATTCCTCAGGCATTTGGCAAGTTTTCACTACATTAACTCGTCTTGCAACCTTGAAACTTCACTCAAATTTCCTGTGTGGCTTTAGGAGTTTTCCTGCCATATTTCATCAATGAAAACCTTCCACATGACCATTTTCATGTGATTAGCATGACACCATAGCTGCTATTGAAATTGGATTGTTTGGCGAGTCTTCTCTGTGAATATTAATCCCATGTACAGTCGACTCAGTGTAACAAACACTGATATAACGAAAAACCAGTTATACCGAAATCCTTGACATTGCCCGGCCAATGTCCATAGACACCCATGCTTAAAGAAATTTCCGATATAGCTAAAGAATTTCTCTGTTCCCAGATAGAAACTACACAGGATAAAATCAATTTTCCCCATCCAGAGTGGTTTTTTTTTTTTCTCCCTCTTGATGGAAGTGCAGAAGAGTCACCCCTCCACCTCAGTCTTCAGCTGCACAGCCTATGAGAACCAAGGATTTGACATGTGCAGAATGTGTGTGTGGCAGGGGATGTGAACGTGGAAGATACAAGTGAACGAAGCACTTCAATCCTCGTGCTCAGCAGCTTTTTTTTGGGTTTCATTGATCTTGTGCGAGTTTAATTTTACAAGGCTTTGGGAGGTCCATGCCCTTTACATGGTAGAAGCTTTTACACATTTAACCCTTTCGCTGCGTAATTTAAATTGGCACGAAGCCAATGGCAGTGCTGCAGGAAGCAACTGAAGTTGCTTTTTGCAGTGTAAGGGTTAAGACATTAGTTACCAATGCAATTTTCAACACCATAACCGCTATGCCTTGTGACCCACCAGCGGATATGTGGCAGTGAAGGTGTTGAAGTACTGTCATCCATAAAATCCTCAAATGCCATAAGGCCCCCAAAGTCCACCCATGGGATATATACACAGGCATAACAAGATTCATTTCTCTAATTAGAGATGAACACCTCCCTCCTGATATAACGAAAACCCGATATATTGAAATTAATCCAGTGGCTTCATCAACCTCATTTATAACAAGAGTTGACTGTACTTGAAATTATTATTGATTTCATGGTATGCTTGTAAAAGCTGGTAGACCAAATTTAATCAAGATAGGTCAATTCCATGGTCATGCTTTTTTTGCGATTTGTATATTTTTGGCTTGGCAAGAGGGTTTAGGTGCTTGTACTGTCCAAGAAGGGTGTCTCATGTAAATAAGAAAAGAAGCTTTTGTTCACTAGTGTTAGACTATGTTATCCAAATTTTTGCATAACATGGCATTTATGAGACACAAAAGGACTGTTGCAAACATCACTAAATTAGGTTTTGCTCTCTGAAATCACTTTCAAAAACCAACTCAGTCACAAGTTGGGCATTTTGACTGACACATCAAATTACCATCAAGCAATATAAATATGCAAATGTATACAGAAAAATTGGCATGTAATTTATATGGATATATAAAAATGTGGAAAATATGTACCAAAATATAGTCTGTATCTTTCCAGGTAATGTCTTTGAAGTAATGAAGTTAGTGTCCTCTAGTGGATCATAAAGCTGGCTGACAAACTGAGCACATGACAGAATGTCTGAACATGTTTCAAGGTTTAGGACATTGGTGGATCTATTGGCTCATTGGCCTCAGGTGTGTAACACCTCGAGGAGGATGTAAGCCCAGCTGCGTCATAATGAAACCAATGCCAGTGGCATCATTTGTGCATTGCAATGAGCAAAATAAATAGTATCTCAATTGGTCCTATTTTTTAATTTTTTATATACTATGTACTGGGTTTGGCCTCATAGGGTTTTGAAATGTGCCACAAAAAAGGCTATGGCACTAAATGTGTTGAATATTTATCTAGTAAAATTTTGTAATATGGTTTAGATGATTCTTTCCAGTTTTTAAAGGGCTACTCTGGCAAAGCATTAAATCTTTTGGTCCAATGCACCACAAGAGTTCTTCAGTTCAGTAGACACAAAAGATTTGCCCTCTTCCATTTTTTTCCCTGCTCATTTTGCTGATTATGGCTGTTTGCCTCTCAACTGTCCACATTTTATGCCAAACATGCAGACATGGATTTTCAGAAATCAAGCAAAATTATGATTGCTTGTTGTGCATATGAATAGGAACTGTATTCAGTAAAGAAATATTACATTTTTATTATTTAACTTTCATTGCTAGCCCTTCTGTTAATCTCTGTTTGTATCCTTGTCTGACCTTTACACTCAGATTTGTCTGCTTGGAAGGTTTTTTTTAGATTTCATTGGTCATCTCAATACAATTCTTGTTCTTGATCAAAGACCTAGCAGAAAAGCAAGAAAGTGTACAACTTTTGAAATTTTTTAAATACTCAACTATTCCTTACTCAGATATCATTTGCTGTTATTAGACTCCTAAAGCTTAGTATGAAGACCAAGATAACCTATTCTTGATCTTTATATTCCTGGCATGTCTGACAGACTGATATGATAGATAGGTCATTCCCAGTGATGGAGGTATTATGGCCAGGCAATCCTTTGTCTTTACAGTTCCTTTTTTGCTATGGCAAGTACTTTTTTAAATGCTGTATTGAAAAAATAAAAATATAAGACTGCTAACTACATCGAAGGCTTTCAAGGAAAGTGTAATCCGATTTCGTCTGGGCGGGTTTCAGGCCGCCAATCTCCGATCTTGATGTTGTGTGGGTACTCTGCATTCTAGGCACGAGGTCATCAACAGGCTCCAGTCCAGTCACACTCTAGTCGTTCTCATTGCCAACAACCTTAGTGCTTACATGGAACGTATCCGTGCCTACGTGAAGGGTCAGTCTGCCTTTTTTTCTTTCTTAGAACTTATGACTGTGAGGAAAGTAGCTAATAAATTGACAGACATGCTGAGTGGCAGAAAAAATGGCTCTGCTGCCAGAGTTCATTGGAATAATCTTTGCAGAGAAAGGCACTTTGATGGCTTTGATTCCTGGGACTCAAATGGAGATTTACATATACGGGTTCATTGCTGCTCTCTGTTGTCACAAGCCATATAGACTCATGATTTATATGGGAAACTGTTTTCATTTGCTTCCTCTTGGTAGCTTGTGCATAATTTAGTCATTCTTGGTGATGAAATCTTAAAAGACTGCTTAAGTTTGGATTGCTAAGTTTGCCAAGAAAGAGCAAATTCTTTATGTTTAGCCAGTAAGTCAACAGTTTATAGAATAAGGACCTGAGTGACATCACCTCACCTTGTATTTCATCAACATGATGGAGCTTCTCATGCCCTCCTGCAGAGAAGTCTGACATCTGTGGTATAATTAACTGGTAACTGTAGAGCAAAATGGAAGCTTGTTAGGAGCATTTTTCTCAGATTTCATGATATTCCATTGATGCAATTAGGTAATTTTTCATATAGCTCAGGTGGTTTTCTGTCAAAGCCTTTTACAGTGGCCATTTACATTTATGTCTCTGCTTTCATTTCATTTAATTCCCCCTCCCCCTCCCATTACAGAGCATCCTGACACAGACCCAAAGGAGTATCTACCTGATGAGCGTTACAATCATAACATTCAGGTTCAGGAGAGGCTCAGCTTCTTACGGTTCCTCCTCAAGGTCAGTTCTCCTTTTTCAATCTTTTTTTATAGTTTTCATAATCAAGATGGAACTAAAAAATTCATTCCTGTGATTAGAAATTTCTGCCAGGACTTTGTGTATTGATGAGAATAAGTAATCTTGGTAGTGAATAGGATATAACATAGAGTCTGTTGTTAGACACATGGCAGCTTAGACTGCCCAAAAACTGCCTTTTAAAATTTTTTATTATCCCTTTTTAATTACCTGGAATTAATGTTTCTGTTTCATGTTTAGAGAGGAAGTGGAAGAAGGGGATGTGGTGTCCCAATTGCATGAAGAAAAAAATTTTTGGTTCCTTTTAAGGCTGAGTGGATGTTTGGGGATCAGAATATGCTGCCATAATCATTTTCCTGTTTTATGGGAAGTTAAAATGCAAAAGATATAAGCTGAAAAAAGTGAAGGCCAACTTTGTGTCTCTCCCTTTTTACCTTGACCCCATACTCTCATGCCAATATTTATAGTTGTTCTAATAAGAAACAGTTGTCATTGTAAAGAATGAGGAAGTGAGTTTGATTTCATTCATAAACAAGTTGAGTTTTTCTGATAAAATACTGGAATATGGTGGGAATGACTGTTATTTGCCTTTTTGGTTGGCTTGCTAGCATTTTACTTGAGGAACCTCTACTATGCCACATCTACTGGTTAAAGACTACTGCCCAACTGCAAAAAATCTCGTAGGTGAGATAAAGGGGCCTTTAAGCTAAAGTGCTCTTTACCCCCCTTGGGATTCCATGAATTTTTTTATAGGACTGTAACCAAAGGAGGTTTCGGCATTCAGGTCTTCATTTTTTCAAGTGGTCAAGTGTTTGCAGTCAGTATTAGTGATATTTAACCATGCCATTTTCACATCTTCAGCAGGAATTTTATTGATATGGCAGATGCTCATTACTCTAGGGATCTGTGAATGTTATTTTCAACTCTTCAAACTTAAGTATTTAGTATGTTTTAATGCAGCAGACTCCAATGAAATTGATAATCACTTTTTGTTTTGGACCTAGAACAATATATTTCTCATCAGATGATTTGTGATATACTTTGTGTACTGGCTGGTGTCAACACCCTGAATGCTCAGCAATTCTGGTTGCCACAAAGTCCAAGGTGTTGTTGACATTATCTAGCCAGGTGCCTGATGCTAGTAGAGGTGACAAGGTGTTTTTTTTTTTCTAAGCCATGCCATGAGAATATATTGAAAGTATAGAGTTTGATTCAAGACAGACCATACAATGGGATACTATGGAAATTTGCTCTGCAGTTACTCATTGTGCCATGGATGCAACAAACTTTGCTGAGAACCTGCTTTATTTTGAGTGGTTTTAAAGTTGGAGGTGATGAATGATTCTTCACAGGATGGTCAACTATGGCTGTGTGAGCAGCAGGCAAAGCAGGTGTGGCAGTGCCTGGCAGAGCAGGCAGTGTTCCCATGTGACCGGGAGGCTTGCTTTCGTTGGTTCTCCAAGCTCATGGGCGAGGAACCTGACCTCGACCCTGACATCAACCGCCAATTCTTTGAAGGGAACATCCTCATGTTTGACCCTACCCTCCTCACTGAATCAGGGATGAAGTGAGGCCCCTCATTTGCACAGATATCTGAATCATTTTCTTGGATTTTTAAAAAGGTCATGAATTTCTAGAGCAGGTATGGGAGTTTTTTGTCTTTGAGAAATTGGTACTCTGTCACAGAGGCATCATCATTTGCAAACAATTCATTCATTTATGATATCTTTCAGATTCAAATATGTGTGGGAACAAGAAGCAGTGTCTGTTGTCAATGGTCTCTGGTTTCATCACTTTTGGTAGAGAACTCTTTCAATTCATTTGGGAGATGGACTAAGTCTCATGCAAACAATGAGTACACCTGATTGCCTCAAAAAGTATTTACTAATTTGCAATTCAAATATGCTGTACATTTGATAGGCTTTTGCACATCTTTGCCCATATGTAGTGTACACCTGGTATTTTTTAAACTTGAAGTGCCAGATTTCAATTTGATGGATGTGGCCCTACTATTTGCTAGGAACCTTCTGACCATAACCAATGGCTCCCCATTTTGCAGGTGCTTTGAACGATTCTTTCGTCAGGTGAACACTAAGGAAGGGAAGTTGATACCTAAGAGAAGGACTCACCAGATGGATCACTTTGAACTCATTGGCCTTGACTATCTTTGGAAAGTGAGTCTTTTTTTATTTTCAGGTGATTTTATTATTTTTATGTTTTCTTATTAGCAATATCTAACATCAAGATTTGTGAAATGCTTAGTTCTTTGTTATTGCATCTAAAGTGAGAATGAAATGTGAGTGCTGGGAGATGAAGCTCTAACATACTTTCTACTAGTATCAAAGCTGTAAAAAGTGTTTTTTAGCTATATTATCAGTGATGCAATGATATTTAATCAGTTATTGGTATTTGCTTTTGGACGTAGCCAATATGTAAGCTACATAGGTATGATATATGACCTGCCAATAACCAATATTGCCTAAATTATGCCAGATGCTAAGCGTGTATAGTGAGTGATGGATATTCTCTCATCTTTCTCATAGGAAGGTCAATCATGTTGATGGCATGTTTTTATCAGACAAGAAGCAGTGGTGGCTTGCGATATGCAGCAGTAGTGGTTCTTGAGTGGAGACAGAGGAGGCCAACCTCCCTCTGTCTCCACTCAAGAACTATTACTGCTGCATATCACAAGCCACCTGACAAAACAGTATTAACCCATCAAGCCTGTAATTTTAAACAGCCGAATATCCCCTGTGGCAGGTATATGTTTGCACTTCTGTGACAGCATAAGCTTCAAGTAGGAAACCAGTTTGCATAAATTATGAATGCAGTTTACTTCCTACTGGTGAATTTAATAAAAATACACTACCACACTGGACATCACAGTCACATTGAACCTGCTGCACATTAAGCAAAATGTGAGCTGCTTTTTCCTTTTGATTGGGAACAGGAGGATGGTTGCTCATCACTAAGGTCCCTTCCTGCTTAGGCAGTTAGTGTCTCAACCTCAACATGCCACTCCTGGTGTATGTGCAAAGGGTCATGGTCTCTCTTCTGTCTCAGTTCATTATATCAACTCCTCTCCCTCCCTCCAGTGTTTTGGACTTTCACCATGTTAACCCCGCCTGGATGAATTAAGCTTAATGTTAGATGTGTAGACCTATGCTCACGATGTGAGCATCTCCCTCTTGCAGGAGGAGATGCAATGAGATGGGACTATCAAAGGGTGAATGTGGGGATCAGGACCCCTACTTAAAACGATCAGAAGTGCGTGGAATGCTTGGAAACCACCTCATGGTAACCTCACTTGCAAACCATAGACTTTCTTGAGTAGTTACTGAGATTTGCTTTGGTAAGCTTGATGTATGGGGACATGCATGTAACATTGTCCTGTGGCTAGAGAGAGGTTGAGAAAGTATAGAATTCAAACTGCTGCTGCCATTGTTCTGAATTTCAAACTGCTGCTGCCATTGTTCTGAATTTCTTAGAAGTAGTCTTTTCAAGTGTTACAGGAATGATTGGTACCCCTGAGCAATGAAGCAGGGATGAAGGGAAGAGACCACAGTGTACATGATCTGTTTGGGGAAGATTGGGCCTATTGGTGCAAAATATCAAGGAGTTAGTGGAATTAGGGCTGGGACAGTAATGAGACTGTGAACAAAAGTGGGTGGGACTCAAGGTTCATTTCTATATGTGTAATAGCAAAATGTTCCAGGGTGGGGGCTCAAGATGTACAATTTGTCACATTCCAACATCAACCTGCCCACTTGTGGCATTGACATAAGTGTTGGAAGCACTGAAAGGGAAGGATTGATGGAACAAACTATATCCCTGTGGCCTACTCCCTCTCCCATGTTCATGAACATCCATTGCTTCTTAACCCTTTACCTGCTACTGTCACATTAATGTGTCAGAGTAAGAAGTGTCACCAGTGCATCTGTTGCATTTATGCATTTCATATTTCTCTTTTGTCATTGCTACTATTGCATTTACTTGACAGCTTCAATTTATCAAGGAATATGCTCTGACATCTCTTGATTATGTCTAAAACTTTTTGCAGCTTGTTTGAAGTGGTTATTGCCTGAAAAATAAACTGTTTCCATACTCACACCACCAAATGGCTTCTGAAATATGGCATCAACTTGCAGTTTGAGAAGTGGACAAAACAAAAAAAGTTTGTGATTCAGATATTAACGACTTTGCACTGCAAAATCTAAAGAAAGTGCTGCTGAAAAGAGTGATATATAAAAAAGTGGCATAGGAAGTGCATTATGCAAACATAAGTCCAACCACATTTTGACTTGAGAAACATGTCAGTGGGAACTCTTTCACCAATGCATTGAAGTGTTAACTTTCTTGACTTTGACTGTACCCATAAAAAAAACCACAATTCTAAATGCTAGCATTAGTGCATCTCACTTCCATGAGAGACCACCAGCAGCAAATTAAACTTAGGCAATTTGCAAATTTCTGTTAAATTGTCCAAAAGTAAGAAAGCCTTTTTTTTTTTAAACTCATCACTATGGGAGACTCATTGGCGCATAAAATGAGCAGTTAACACGTTAACTACCCATGTCCAGTTAACTGGACAAATTCATTCATTTTCCCTTAGCACTGTAACCCTTTGGCTGAGGGGGTTGATATTATATGAGGCGTGGGCCTCTGGCAAACCCCCAGCCAGGAGATTCTCTGAGTTGGGATGGGCAGTCAATGTGTTAAAGGGTCATTGGCATTCTCATATCAGGGGAGGGTTGTGATTTTATTTTCTATTGATAAATTATCCTGATGCATTGTTATTCCTTCTTAGTTCCATATTGGAACTTGGCAAATCTCATGCTTTGTGATTTCCACAAGCCTGAAACTGCAATAAATATGTTTTCATGTTAGAAATGATATGTTTATGAATATCTTCATTACAATGAGTTTTATGTGAAAGTAGACATAGGTATCAACATTGGTTAATTTTTCAATATTGGAATATTGGCATATTTGATATCAACCAAAAAAAAATTAGATATCATTGCATCTCTAGACATTGCTGTTGATAGAATCTTAGTTGTCCAACTGTGATGGCAAGAACAAGAAAAGGTACTTTTTGTGTTGGAAGTAAATTGAAAAGTGAATTTATAGTTACATTGATTGAACCAATGCTTGGATTTTCCAGGTGATTTTGCATAGTGGAGATGAGATTGCAACACGTGCCATTGAGCTGCTCAAGGAGACATCGACTAACCTTGGGCCAAGGCTCCAGGCAAACCAGGCAGAAATCCATGAGGACTTCATCTCCTCATGTATGGACCGTCTCAAGAGCTTCTATGACACCTTCTCCATCTTGGATAAAGAGCGGGATGGGGGAGATCGTGTTGACGTTGAGGTGACACGCATGTGTCGTGTCCTCCGGGTTCTTCATGAATACATATCTGAGACAGACAATGATTATCATGATGAGCGCCTCCTCCTCCCACTCTCTAGGTTTGTTGGCTTGTTCTTTTTCTGCTTTCTGTTGATTTCTCAATATGGCACTTTCAAAACTTGAATTGCTGCTAGCAGTTAGTCTCCAAAAATTTAAACCACATTTTAAGCAACCCTTAGATCCTTAGGTGAGCAATGGTAATTTGTATAAAGAGATTTGAAGTTTCCTGCTCACACAGGGCCTACCATGGGAAGAGCCTCTCAGTGACAGTGAGATTCCCAAACCAAGGGAAGCAGGTGGAGGAGCTGGACCTGTGGTCCCACACCAATGAGACCCTAGGGACAGTGAGACGCCACATCCTTCAGCAACTGAAGCTAGCTGCCCCCTCACCTGGGATGAAGGTGGACCTGTTCCTCAATGGGGAGATTCTTGACCCTGGCACTGAGGACAGGAAACTTATATCCCAGATCTCTCTCTCAGACAAGGCACTCCCAACAGAATTTCTCCCTGACTGCCTTCGGCGGGTAGGCCCTTTTGCTTTCTCATGGCCTTGCTTTGCCTTGGCAGTTTGCAGATTATTTATAGGAGGAGTACACCTAAAAATTTTCAAACCAAAACATTCAGAAGGTGAACTACAGAAAAACTGAAGTCTTGAGTTGAGCAGGATCATCTGCTGACTTCATCAATGTTTATGTGCTTTTCCACATTACTTCATTTCATTAAGATAGACTGGATGCATATCCAGTTTTCAGACGTTTCTTAAGCAAATTATGGAAATTTTTTTGCATTAATTTTGTGCTATATAATTTCTGATGGACTTTTTTTGCCAATTTTGTTGAAAATGATGTTGATCGTTGTATGTTTGTATTGTTTGGATTTGCAGATTTTGACTGGAAAGTTAGTGCCAGCAAATCCAATGCCATCGTCACCAGACAGCAGTTCAGATAGCTCGGCTGGATCTCCGCAGCACCAGTATGATGGACCCAATGCTGAAGCTGAGAATGCCTTGCCAGGAGTGGTGAGTGGTGCTTATTATTCCTTTGACTGGTCAGTCTGACAAGGCTGTTAACTGCTGCATTACTCTGACAGGGGTCATATGATTATTCTTAAATTGGTGTTGAGGGTATAATATACTGGTGTGAGGAATTTAGGTCTATATGAGGACAATGTGTGATTTCCCATGATGGAACATTCAATCTGGGAGAGGACTTTCACTGTGTAGAAAAATGCTTTTCTGGTACTGGATGTCAAGTTTCAATTCATGATACCCTTGGGATCATCCTTGTACCAAAGATGTGAAAGAGATTCTGATAAGATAAAAGAAAAATTGAACTGGATACATACACTGTTGCATCCTAGCACTAGCACCTATACCCCCAATTTACAAGTGCTAGTTGGTCATAAGCCTCCTTATAAAGTCTGTTTGTTTCATTTTGAGTTGATGCAGTACTGATACTAACCACGAAAGTGACTATGTTTGATACAATTCTGTTGAATTTTTTGGAGCATAGAGTTGTGCAGTGTAATAAAAAACCACAATTGTAATGTGACCTTTTGGTTCAACCTGGATATTTTCAGTTCTATTTATTCATTTGCACATCGGATGATCTCTTGGTTATAGTTGCTGTCCCAGCAGTCCAAGTACACACAGTTCTTATTCAAGCTGTGTGATTTGGGATCATCATTGAAGCACACACTGCTGCGGGATTCAGCTCGTGCTCTCCTACAGCTGGTGCCAGCTGACTCAGGGACAGTGCAGATGCTGCGGGACACATGCGCTCAGACAGCATCCAAGACTTCATCTGGCACAGTGGCCAAGGAAGTGGAGCAGATCTTCTTCTGCTCCTCCCATGCTGAGTCCCTTTACCGACTTGAGGTGAGCACAAACACCATCTTGACAATGTTTTGAAATCCCTTTTGATTGTACCATGAAACAAGTACCTGTGTGGTAGGTCTACTTGGAAGATCTGCTAAAGGAAAACTTTGCAGCTTTTTTTTTTTCTTCTTCAGCAGAAAGTATACATTGGGATATGGAAAGCATTTGAATTGTCTCTTACAAGTGAGATTTTTCTAATGAAAGCAGCAAATGTTTTTAAATGTTAAATATGTTTGTATGCTAATGTAGACAGTACTGGAGTGTATGCATGAAATGGGCATTTTGTCATGGTTTTTTAGTCCTAGGAAGAAGGATGAAGTTTAATGGCTGGGAATCATTCTGTTATATACATCTTGAATGATTGAAGAAATGGGCAAATATGCATGCTTTTCCAGGAGAGAAAGAGTGAAGACCTTTGAACTAGAGAATGGTATTCAATGAGCCTTTACCTTTGAGTTGGTAGTTTCACCTTTACAGTGGAAGGGTGAACAATCCATTAACACATTCACTGCTGGACCTTTAAAGTGAGATTGTTGCTGGATTGCCAGTGTTGTTCTGGGTCTGCAAAAATTCATGCATTGTTTTAGGAAAAGAATACTGGAACAAATCTATTAGATCCAAAAAGTTTTAAATGTTCAATAATTACTTGGTAGACTTTAAGGATTTGATAGTGTGTGAAAGTCATTGGATACAATAACATTCCAAAAATCAGATTTTACTTTTTTTGTGTTGCATGCAAACTCAAGAGTGTATTGCAGCCTTTTTTTTCTTTTCCTGTGGGTGGGATGTATCTGCACCACCTTCAACATCCTCACCCTGATCAGATGAGAAATCTGTATCATATTATAACCTGAAATCAATATCACCATCTGTAGCACTTGAGGTGTATCCCTCTCACTTGTTTTGAACACATTGCTACAACTTGTGGGTCCTCTATAGGAGCTGGTAAACAAGATGTGGGATTGTGGTTAACTGGAAGGGTGAAAAAAAGCTAAGTGCTATTATTAGTTTTGGATAGTGTCTGAGAAGAACCCTGGATACCAGCAACATCACCTTTTGTGCCATCTCTAGGCACTTTGTGGGGTTATATTTGTATGACTGAATTTCAAGTTGACCTTACTCAACAATGGCATTCTTAGCAGGAGTTTTGTAAATTGACCATAGTTGACTTTGGTAATGAATGTGTTCATGTTCCTCATTATGAATAAGGTGAGAAATCTTGCTCTCTTGACAATTTTCAAAATTGCATATTCCCACTTTTGTCAGGTGATTGATAATGGATTGATTCACCAACATTTCTGGAAAGGGAGCAGCCCTCCTAATGGTTTAGGTATTGACATATCAAACAATTGTGTGTAACAGAATGACAGATATATATTGTATAAAGTATGGTGCTTATTGTTCTGAATTTCAGATTTCAACATAGATTATACAGCATGTTTATGTGTGATGGATTTCATGTGAAGCATATTTGAGAAAATGAATTCAAATGCTTGAGTTTCAATCTTTGTAAATCGATTTAGGAGTGACTGACAACAAACTGGTTGGAGCCTTGCACTATCCTGAAAATAAGCAGGAGTATCAGTCCTGGTATCAGCATCAGTCAGTATTGTTATCAGCAAATTTTATATTGGGGTATGGGCAAAATGTTGATATTGATGCATATCTAGTGGAAATGCTAATGTGAGTCAGCAATCAAGTCATCTTATGAGTGGCCAATACTTATTTTCATGTGCTCTCTTCATTGCAATATTTACCATAATTTGGGATCCATTTCCTTGTGTGCTTTGCCTCTGGCAGGTCCTGTATGCTCTGCTGATGCCTGCAAACATTGCACATCCCAATGTTAGCCAACAGCAGATGGCATTTCACTACAATTTTGTTAAGAGTGGAGGGATCCCTATCATCATGTCCCTCCTCACACAAAACAACTTTTTGAATGAAGCTGACATGCATACCAAGCGGTAAGTGTGTCTCAATTCTCCAGCACTTCTCATGCTATAGATAAATGAGCAATTTTCTCTCTCATAAAGTAATGAAGGCCAGCAATCATCTTCATCTTCAGAAATGAGAAAAGGGGAAAAAGCATTTCAAAGGTTATTTTTCTATAGGACATCTAATGGGGAAAGGAGCACTTCAATTTTCAGTCTCTGGTGATATAAAGATCTCACTGATGACTGCATTTGTGTGTCATTCAAATAATTTTTTTTAGAGTTCTCAGTTGTAAAAGTATATGGTTCCTGAGTTATGGTATTAGTTTCTTATTCATTTGCAACTAAAAATATGTACTTTTTTGTGTGCTTACTTTTGTCATTCTCTGAGCCCCAGAACTTTTTTTTAGATCCTATTGTATATTGATATTGTAATGAAGTTTTAATGACTGAATGAACTGCATTACTTCATTAATATACAAATTAAAGGTAATGAAAGAGAAAAGCATTTTATGGGACTCTGTGAATGCTGAAGCTTTTCAGACCAAGAAGAATATTTCTTTCATCTGTGGATGTGCAGGGCAGCGTATCAGGTGGTTGTGCGTCTGCTGAAGCTTCTTTTGACTGTGGCTGCAAGTGCTGTTGCTGCACATGCAAGTGAGGGCCAACAGTACATCATGCCATTGCAGCAGGCATTGCGAAACATCCCTAACCCAACTGCTGATGCCATGGTCCGCCAAGCTGCCATGCAGCTTGGCCAGTCACTTCAGAAGGAAGTCAGTTTGTTTTCTTATTTTCAATGTGACAATGCATTCAATTTATTGCATGAGACACTGTGTTAACTCATGATCTAGGCTTTTTCCCTTTGCTTTTTGTTTATGTTTTCAGTGGAGCCTCCTTGTTGCATTGGGCTTGTTACATTAGGCTTCTAGCATCTTTGTCCATTGCAGTTCTCTGCATACCACCTACTTCGGGTAGACATTATCCACTTTGGAATCCATTTATCTTATTAGTAATTTTAACATTAGTAATGTATAGTAAGAATCCTATGAGGAAAGGGCATGAAAATACTTATGCAATAGTTGAATATCTGGACAATTGTGAATTGTGATGAGATTTGTGAATTAAGTGTTACCACTCCCCAATTAAAAGAAATTTGGATATTGTCCACCGAGTACTTTAAACCATCTATACTAGGGATTGGCAGTCACATTATCAAGGATTGGGTGATATTCAGATTTCAGATTCATCTGGTATTGAAATAGCTTGGCCATGGCTCTTAAAGAAAGTAGACTGAAACACTTGAGTTACATGAAAATTTGCCTCATGCCACTGTGAATGTTTTATCCATTATGCAGGCTGCCGCCCATTTGCCTGACTTGCAGTTGATTCAGCGCCTGATCTGGTTGGCTTGGTCTGCAGCTGCAGGTTGTGTTGACAGAGCAGCATCTGCAACACTCGAAGATCTCATGCAGATCCGGCCTCAGATCTTGCACCCTGACCGGGATCCTGAGGATTTGATCTGTAAGTCTATGCATATCTCATCTCTCTTCAGCTATAGTCATGATGATAGAATTCCAGTTGGTATTGCAACCAATATATTGTAGCATGTATTTGGTTGGGCTAGAGTGAGAATTGGAATTCTCATTCAGATAACTTGAACAAGCAATCTATTGTAGCTTATTATCCGGTCTAGGAAATGAGTTTCATTTTTATGATGCCACAAGTGCCATGGTACTCTGTGAATTACTTGTACAATCTCTGCAACCAGATTTTTACCTGTGCCAGTAAAAAATTATTACTAGTTATGTTGTATTTCTTGTCATGTGGAAGCATGCAGTAATGAAGTATTCTTGGTGCTCTGATTCAGGTATAATCTTAAACTCTGAATTTGATAGCGTCCCATGTAGGCATGCTGCTCTAAAACTAAATTGAAGGAGGGTACGAGGGTCACTCAATAAGTTATCTACCTGAATAAGAAAGAAACATCCAAGGGGAAAAATAACACTTTATTTTTCAATGTAGTCACCTTTTAACTCAACACACTTATTCCACTTTGATTCCAAGGATTTTATTCCCTGGGAATAGAAGTCAACTGAAAACAATGTCCATGAAGTCAAGTCCATGAAACCAATCAGAAACGGCAACTTTCAGCTCTTCATTGCATGAAAATCTTTTTCCCCGTAAAAATTTTTTCAAGCGTCTGAACAGAAAATAGTCACTAGGAGCCAGATCCGGGCTGTAGGGAGGATGGTTGAGCTCCTGAAAGCCACACTCCCTCACTGCTGTCTGAACTTTCCATGATTTGTGGACGGGCGCGTTGTCATGGAGAAGAAGGACCTCCCTTGACAACCTTCCTCTGCGTTTTTCCTTCATGGCATCATGTAAATTTTTCATGGTGGTAGTATAGGAATCGCCAGTGATTGTACACTCGTCTGGCATGAACTCAAGCAGCAGTAGTCCCTCGCTGTCCCAAAACACAGTGGCCATAATGTTTCCTGGAGATTTCTGAACACGAAATTTGCTAGGCGTTGGCGATCCCTTGTGCTTCCACTGCATGGACTCCTGCTTGGTTTCGGGATCCCAGTGATGAACCCAAGTTTCATCACCAGTTACTATTCTGGGAAAAAAAGTTTCCCCGATTTGTTTAGAAAACTCCAAGTTTTCCTTGCAGATGTCAGATCTGTTCTTCTTCTGAGCTGGAGTCAGCATTCTTGGGACCCATCGAGAACTGACTTTGGACGAGCAATTTTTCATGAATAATGTGAATCACTGTGCCCTCTGAAATCCCCAGTTCATGAGCTAAAACAGACTTTGGTGCAATGATCCTCCAGTATCGCACTCTCCAATTTGTCACACATTTCCTGATCAGAAGCCTCCACAGGGCGCCCCGACCTTGGGTCATCTTTGATTGACTCTCTTCCCCACTTAAACTGCTTGCTCCAAAATTTAACTTGGTAATAAGAAGGCGAAGACACACCGTAAACGTTAGACATACGTTCATAGATCTCCTTAGGTGCTTTCCCTTTGGTGAGGAATTTGATCACTGAACGATGTTCAACTTTCATCAAATCCATGACATAGACTCAGGAAAAGAAATCTAATGCGCTACCACTTTGAACGGACTTGAGCCACTGAGCTGGTATAGTGGTGGGGCACTCATGAGACCTGTCAAGACATGTCACAGCAGGCACAGGCCTGTTGCTCATCCCTTTCATATTCAGGTAGATAACTTATTGAGTGGCCCTCGTATATGCTGTTCCAGTGCTTAAATTGAAGACATAACTTAACTGCCAAGTGGTGATTGAGAGATTGTCTAGCTGGAGAGTGAAAACATGCAAGATCATGCCCTTTCACATTTATTCAGGGATGTCTAACTTAAAGGTCTCATTCAGAGTTCTCTTATCCTTGCCTGAAGTGTATCATAATCATGCCATTGGACAACTGGGTCATGAGAACATGTACTTTCCATGTAAACTTCAACTAATTTTGCATGAATGCCCTTTGTGTTTTCCCTTGCCTGCTCTGTGTGAGGACGTGGAATCATTGTCCTCTTCTCTTGGAAAAATCCATGTGTTAACAATGGAATGGAAAATAACCTCAGATTTTCTAACCATGGGGGGAAGAAGAAATGCTGTAGCTGGAGTCAAGTCTTGACATAAGATGAGCCAATCAATGCATGACCAGTGGCAAGAAAAATTATTTACATCACCGCTGGGACAAGAAGCAATGCCACTTGTCCCCATTCTTTTCTATTTTCTTTAAAATGACCCTTGCTGTGTGCTTTCTGTGAGTGCACTGTCTTAAGCAAATATGCCTGGAGATTATGTGCATGGGGTATGATGGTGGTAGAGGCAAAGTAAAGTTAACCATCCACCCCCTTCAATACTCCTTTCTAGTTTGAAACTTTCTCAATATCAAGGTTATTTTATAAAAATAACTATTTTATTGGATAGAAGAAGAAAAAATAAAATGTACCCTCTATATCAAACACTTTGTGCTTAGGAGATGCAGTGAAAATTGTTGTTAGGTTTGATGAAGTACATCCATTAATGGTGAAAAATTTGTACAAATTTGTTCAAAAAAATATATACAACTTCAACAGTTTATAGCTTTTTTATTTCAACATGTGTCATCATAAAACCACTTTTAGAAAGTATAAAAACTCAGAATTTTAGTACTTACTCAATTTTATATCAAAATTTACTCGGTGGTGTCCATGCTTTTTCAAGCAATATTGCAGCCTTCTGGAGAAGTTTACAATGACATCTTGAAGAACTGTCACGGGTATAGAGCGAATTACTTCTTCAATTCTTTGCTTTAGTTCTGGGGCATTTCATGGCCTCATTTGGAAGACTTTTGCCTTCAATTAGCCCCATAAATAAAAATCTAGGGTGATAGATCCAGGGACCTAGGTGGCCAATTGATGTCTCCACCTCTGCTGAAGTCTTTTGGGAAATTGCTGCCTGAGATAATCCATGCAAAGTCCAGCTGTGTGAGCTGTCCCTCCATCTTGCTGAAACCAAATTTGATTCCTGACATGATGGATATGAGGCATGCCACTGTCTCCTTTATGTCTACTGTGTATGCCTTGTATACATACATTGTACACAAGATGTCATTGTAAACTTCTCCAGAAGGCTCTAATGTTGCTTGAACAAGCATGGACACCAATTTAAGCATATTTTGACATAAAAATGAGTAGGTACTAAAACTTTGAGTTTTCTATTTTTTTAAAGTGGTTTTATGATGATACATGTTGAAATAAATATGTAATAAGCTGTAATGTAATAAGTTTATATTTGGAGACAATAAGCAAAGTCGTTTACAACTTTCCAAAGAGACTCAAGCAGTGCATCAAAGCAGAAGGTGGCCGTTTTGAAAACAAGTGATTCTATTGTGATTGTAAAAATTTGATCATTTTCAAAAATTTATTTTATTTCTTATTTTGTCCTGGTATTTTTCCCACACCCTGTATTTTCTGATATTTTTGGTTGAATAAGGGTATTTTTAGGATTTAGTATTTAAAAAATACTAGGCAGTGTATTAAATTGAGATGCTGAGTACTGTAAATTTACTGGGCAAAAGTTGTACCTACACACAAATTTGACAATGGTCACAAATTATGGATCTTATTATACCAATCTGCCTGATATTTTAAGGAGTGTTTTCTGACTAATTGAACTCTTTTTATTCAAATTTTTAGGCAGTTTGGGCTCCTGGTTGCCAAGAAACTTATAAATATAAAATGGTGTACTTTTTTTCCGGGCACCTCTATACAGATGGACACGGGTATCCTTATCTGCCTGCTTCATCTGTCCTAGTTATCATTGGATATCTTTGTAGATAGCATTTGGAGCTCTATTTCTTTTCAAAGAAGGGAATTTCTTGAAATTTTAAGAAACTTGGGTGGAATTAGGTGTAATTTATTGGATTCAATATGCGTTTTTTGTGCCTTTCTGTCTTGCCATTCTTTGACAGAGAATCTACACATATATTTCCATGAAACTAATAGCCAGTGACAACTCCTCAATTGAATGGCAATCCAAATGTGGTGAACTGAAGTTCTTGGATAAGTTATGGTTGAAAGTCCTTGCTCTCATTTTTCATTTTGTAGGACATTGGTATGGATCATGTATAAAATACATCTACTTTTCATTCTCAAAAATTTTAATTTAATGCTCCATGTTTTTATTATATTAAACTGGATTTGTAATACTTCAGGGTACCTGTCACAATTTTTTAATATTATATTTTTTAATGTGTTTGTATTTACAAGTCTTACAAGTGTCACTTGAAATTTTCCCAGTGTGCCGAGAGACACTGGAAACTCTTTCAGTAGCCGTAGCCCTCCAGCCACAGTGCCTGGAGGTCTTGGTGCAGGACCCATCCTTTGGTTGGAGCCTCCACATCCTTGACCTCCTCCTCCTCTCCTCCTCCCGGTGAGCACACATCTATTGCTCTATTGTATGACAGATTTGCAAATGTTATCACCAGAGGATGTGGTGCTGTAGGTTGGTGCGAGTGACTGCAGCAGAGCAGTTCTACCTGATGGCAACACAGTGCTCAGTGAGCTCAAACCCTCCAACATTCTTCATCTCCCTCATCTTCTCTGCGCTCTTCACCACCGTCACGGACAATGCAAAGAATTCCCATGAACTCTTCCAGGTGGGAGATGCACCACTGTTTAATTTCACTTCTTGAAAAAACTCAGAATGGCTGTCATTCACATGAGATAGTCTACAAAGGTGAGGGAAGAAAACATGGTTTTTGCAGAAGAGCCAATAATTTTTTTAAATCCTATAGTTTTTCATGTGAGGATGGAGTTTTTGGATGTGCATGCAAGCGATTCTTGCTTGTACGGATTTACAGGCTTTATTTAACAAGATTTCATTTGCAAATGCCCGATTCTTTGTCTTCGCTGTGCAGCTGCTGTGTCGCCTTCTGAACTCTGCATCCTCGTGCAACATCATGATGCAGAATGTTGACTCCCAACTTAAGGCTGAGATCAGCTGGCTTAAGGATGTGAAGGTAAACGTGAAGAACACTGGTGAAACTGGGGTGGAAGAGACGCTCTTGGAGGGCCACCTCGGAGTCACGCGGGAACTTGTGAACTTCCTTCCGCCAGAGAAGAAGTTTCAAATCGGTTCTTGTCAAGAGAAGAAAATCCTGCTCATCCAGGACCTCGTTGAGGACTTTGTGTTCCCGGCAAGCAAACTTGTGGCTGTATCGATGCGTAGCAGTGGCAGTGGCGATTCTGTGCTTGCTGAGCAAGCGACACCCGTCTGCAGCTCTCCCATCTCCACTGCAGCTGTCTTCGATCTCCTCGTTGCTCTCTGCACTGGGTGCGTGAAGAACCTGGCCGTCGTCTGCCGGATGCTCACCGAGATGTATTACTCAGACACGGCGGAACCCTTGATCGAGTGGGAGTACCTCCCGCCCGTTGGTCCAAGACCGTCTAAAGGTTTTGTTGGATTGAAGAACGCAGGAGCAACGTGTTACATGAATTCAGTGCTTCAGCAGTTATTTATGATCAAAGCGATCCGTCTGGACGTACTGAGTGCAGAGGGTGCTGCAACCGATTTGGACGAGGATTTCAGCGGCGAAGAGCGGCTGGACGTGGAGCATCCGCTCGAGACCATCGACGACGAGGGGCTGAGCGAGGAGGAGTGTCGACGGGAATACAACATCGGAATTCTGAAGCAGGTTCAGGCGATTTTTGGACACCTGGCAGCCAGCAAGCTCCAATACTATGTCCCGCGGGGCCTGTGGAAGCACTTCAGAATCGCCAACGAACCGGTGAACCTGCGAGAGCAGCACGATGCCCTCGAGTTCTACAACAGTCTCGTGGACAGCATCGATGAGGCACTCAAGGCCTTAGGGCAACCTCAGGTGAGAGCTTGGCAATTCTTTTTTCATAAACAGGGTTCCCTGCGGAAAATTCTTGAAGGTGCCACAGCTTTTCAGTTGGTGCTAGAAAAAGAAACTCACTTCCTGTATGAGACTTGGCATTTCCCTCAATTTCCCCTGCCGCTTTCTCTATCCCTCCTGTAGCTCGTGATGGTGCATTTATGAGGGTTGAGGCAGTCCAAATAAAGCGCATTCGTTCATGTTGGCTTTAGGGTGGAGGGGAACGCTGCAATAAGCTTTAACCCTTGAAGTTCGGTCGACATAACTGCCTGCGCTATAGAATTACATCCTCTATCCCGTGTGGTAATTTGAAAATTTACAGTGAAAAAACTGTAACGAATATTTAAAAGCTTGTAGGATTAGAAGGACCTACTTCTGCAGATGTGCCATGTCACGTTCCAAGTTGCATTATGCTGCTTTTCAGAGTGTGGACTGGAGTTGAAAAGACATTCAACAAGTTTTGACGATTGTTTTTCAGTTGATAAAAGCTCTAAACTTCATCCCATACACCTTAGGTTGTGCAATCATTGGTCGATGGGTTGATGACCAGTTGTGATGCCCAATGCTCTCATTTGACGCAGTCGCTTCGGCTGACTGACTTAATCACGCGCTAGTAAAATGTTGACTTTTTGCCAAAAAGGACGCAAGTAATGTATTTTTGCCAGAATGCGCAAATCCTAAGCCCTGGGTCTTATTATTCTTGGAAAAGAGAGAGGAACTCGGCAGAACGCCACATGCACCATTCGATTTCAAGCAGGTGTCTAGCAAGAAGAGGTTTCTGCGACGGTTTTTGCAATGTGGTCCACGGTGTCGGACTTGACATCCGGAGTAATATGTTTACATGTAGTATACAAAAATGCATTTTACTATGTTATGGATGACAAATCAGCATGTAATGGCTGTAACAATTGGCCTTGGGTATTAACTGAAAATTCCATAAACCAAAGTCTTGCACTCTCTCCTTTGTTAGAGGTGTACCTATGTGCAAAGAAAAGTGTCAAACGTGACATTTCGTGAACCCTCAAGTTAAAATCACTTGCTCTAATGTTCACATATCTGTCATCGAGCGGACCCTAATAATTTAGCTTCATGTTCAATCAAGAGATTGAATGAAAGCCTGGAAAAGTGTAAGTCACCCCAAGATTACAACACTTGAAACATAAAGTAAGCCTATTTTGTGATGGTGTCGGATGTTATATGTTTTGAAAATGTATTTTGAAAAGAGAAGTCCGTACATATCTTTTAATTTTATTTTAAAGATATCATTCAAATTGACATCAACTCTCCACACCCACGCTGATTTGAAATTATCAGTATGCATGGAAAGCCCATGCTGGCATCTGTTCCAGTAGTCCAATTCAGTCTCTCCATATTTGCATTTCCATCACATTTTTTAGTATCACGAGAGTGGTATGAATAATATATCATAATCACGACTAATCCTTTCATTTTTCAATGTAATATTCTCTTTCGTTCATGTCTTTTTGGAAAACATGACGAATCTCTCTCTCTCTCTCTGTGGCGAAAGTAATATTTGCATATTTAGGAAAATTTCCGGATAAAATCCAAGGACCACTTGGCGTGGTCAGACCCATGTATAGATTGCAGTTATCAGGAAGAGACCAGAAGCAATGTTAAGCTAGCAATTTTTTTTAACAGTCTGACGGCATGCCCAATGTCACCATTCGATCCGTGTCGCAGCCACCGAGATTTCTTATACCATGTGCTCATAGTTTTTTTTTAGCGTGGAAGAGGCCGGAAGCGCCTGTTCCTTTAGAGACGACGGTCTCTACAAATTTCCATGTTATGCTCTAATTTTCATCGCAAACTGGTTTTGGAGGCGCTTAGAGGTGGAAGTCATTAGTTCTGCAACAAAAGGAAACGATTTGCTAGCGATTTGCAAGCTAGTTGCTGGCGTAGTTGACCTAATTTTAATGACTGAGTTGTTGCCCGTTCCTGGTAATTGTTGCATTGCCATGATTGTATTTATCATGCTGCATGAAATGTTTGGCGTTCCAATTGAAGTCATTTCCCCGCATTAACCTTTATCAGACGGATTTAAATCTCCCGCGTAAGCGCTGACAGTCATATTTTCTACGAAGCTCGTAAGCACTCGCTAACTGAGCAATTATTCATTTAATATCATATGATTTGTCCAAAAAGTTGCGGTACAGCCTTTTTACCTTTAGGCAATGGAAAAAATGTCCTCTGTGGCACAGCAGTCGTGACCATTCGTCTCGATAAAGGTTAGTGTACAAATAAATTACGCACGTACGATTAAGGTTAATATGTTAGCTGAATTTACGTTTTTGATACAGAAAAACGAACCAAAGGATTCATTTTATTGGTGTTGGACTCCTCCACGAAAGGTTGGAAGTAATACATTTCCTCGTATTTGGAAGTAACCCCGAAACTCCGTGTCGCAGGTTATGAGCAAGTACCTCGGGGGCTCGTTCGCGGACCAGAAGATCTGCCGTGGGTGTCCGCACCGCTACTCGCGGGAGGAGTCCTTCACGTCCCTGAACATCGACATCCGAAACCACTCCACTCTGCTCGACTCACTGGAGCAGTACGTGAAGGGGGACCTGCTGGAGGGGGACAACGCGTACTACTGCGAGAAGTGCGACCGGAAGGTGGATACGATGAAGCGGATGTGCATCAAGCGCCTTCCGCAGATCATGGTGTTCCAGCTCAAGCGCTTCGAGTACGACTGGGAGCGGGAGTGTGCCATCAAGTCCAACGAGTACTTTGAGTTCCCGAGGGAGCTCGACGTCGAGCCCTTCACAGGCGAGTTTGGCTTTTTCTTTCGTCTTGGTTGTGTCTCGGAGTGCCTCAGAAAAAGTCAGAATGGGTTTTGCAGTTTGGATAGACACGGGATCGTGGTACTGTATTGGAAAATTGTGAAACCGAATGGCTTGATCGTAAGCGGACCAACGGGAGACCGTATGAGTTGCCACGTAGCTCATCAGTGGGGGCTCGCATGCCGGCGCGGCGGTGGACGTGTGGCCCGGAATAAATGGCGTGCGCGTGCAAATGCGAGTCCATTGTTTTGAGCGTCAGAGCGGGGATGGCGAGGTTCGCTTTGCGTGTGGCTTGGGGAATGCGCCGTCATGGCACAGAAGTGTGGGCTCTGTGGGTTAGGCATGGGCAGGCCCTTTGACAGTCCTCAAGCGGCGAGTGCATGTCACGGTCTGGAGTCTTACATTACTGTACTACTTAAAAAAAAAAAATTACTATACTCTTTTTTTGCCTTGCGCTCTCGTGGAAGTGGAATGGGGATTGATAGCGTAGCCAGGATTTCTTCATAGGGTGGCTAATATTTTGTGAGACTGTCTACTTGCGTTTCTTTTTTTGATGGATGATTAACCCTTATCCGGGCAAGGTATTTTTGTGACACAAACGGGCAAGGCCAAACATATTTAGAATTTTTTTCCTTAAAAGCAAATCCAAACTTTAAAAGTTCGTTTCTGAATCTATGGATGACTGTCTATGAAACCCATATCAAATTTGAAGAATATTTTGAAAAATTTGCAGAGAGTAATGAAATGAAATATACCCTGGGGAGTCCAATGGACTCCCCTTGCCCGGATAAGGGTTAAGAACAATTCTATTTTCGCACGTTATTTCTTTATCAAGGAGGTCGTTGCAGCTTTCCAATGCCTATCGCATTGGAGGCTGATGTCTTTATACAAGTCGAAGTCTGGATCTTCCGGGTCTAACTCGGAGCGCAAGGCTTGGCCGGGAAAATGACTCCGAATTGATGACCTTTGACCTCTAATATCTCAAAGGGGGAAAATCACAGAAAAATGAACTTGACCGGGAAACCCCGGGGATTTAGTACAGGCGCCATCACACGTTATGATTTTGCTCATATATGACTGCTCCCATATGATTGAATTTGCTATGAACGGGTGATTAGACGCTATGAGAAGACCTTGTGAGTTTTCAGGGTGAAATTTTGACTGCTGGAGTAATTTTGTTACTGGTTGGGACTTTATTGAGGAGGGTTAGAGCATGTCAGCGATGTCGAAAACGTGACTGACGTTGTGTGGATGCAAAAATGGCTGACAAGGAGGCGAGAAAAGAATTTCGAAGCCAATTTTTTCCTAGAATTACGGGATGAAGATCCCTATCGTTTCCGTGCTCTTCTGAGGATGACTATTGACACCTTCATGGAAATGTTGACACTCGTTGAACACAAAATCGAGAGAATTCATAGAGTTATACGGGACGCGCCATGACACCTGACCATACCAACCAATCAGGAGGCATACTTGCTATGAGTGGTCATAAGAAAGTCAAGGATGTCTCGAGACCTTTTGAGTTGGAATCCCACTCACATGTGAATCTATGAGTCGCTCATAGACCCCGATTACACGAGCTCATAGCTCACATGGGAGCAGTCATATATGAGCAAAATCATAGCGTGTGATGGGGCCTTAACTCCCACACACAATGAAGGAGGTTATTTTGACGAAAAATGACCCTGGTGACCCAAGGCGGCCCAGCGACCCATCGGAGACAGGGCCACCAAACTCCGTCGTCCTGATGCCCCACCCCTAGGAAGTCTATGTTTAAAGTTTCAGTCAGAGATCAAACCGTCTAGGAGGAGAAGCGGCCTCGGACACACAGACACTTACGCTCATTAGTAAGGTAGATATTATTTCCTCCCACTTTCTATCTGAAGGACTATAAATTGAAATCGCATGGGTCAGCATTGGGGCCTCCTTTTCTTTCACGGTGACACCTCGCTCTTCCTCCTTGAATGTCCTCCTCGCACTCGCATCTTTTCCACACACTTCATGTCATTATTTCAAGTTATTGCCGTGGGTCACATAGTCATGTTCTTCATGGACGAGGGATACTCCTCATGGTGAAGGTACGTCGCGATCGGCTCGTAGTCGTTGTGACTTGTCAGCCACGGACACGTTTTAGTCACACGAGAACCACTGAATTGGTGCAATTGTACTATTTGTGCCCGTGTTTTTTATGCTTCAATTCCTGTACCGATAAGTGTCTGACACATCAGGTCAAGGTTTCAAGGAAGCAGTTGTCTCGTACCCTGACCCCAGAGGCATGACTGGAAGAGATCGTGCCTAGAACCTATAGCCCATTGCAAACAGTTTCAGCTCACTGTAGCCATTTTCGCGTGACAATAGTGGGTCCTACGTAAGCGGATCTTACTACGGTTGTGAATCGGCTTACGTCATTTTTACTATGGAAGTGGTTTCACCGTGCGCAACTCTCAATACGGTAGTTGTTTCTACGGGGTTGTAAGTTTCACGTCCTACACCGATACTTCGCCCCCATTCCTATGCACATCTCGTTTCTTAGATATTTTGGCATCCTCCTCTTCTCCCTTCACCTTCAGGAGCACCCCATTTTTCTTCTGGAGACCTATCATCTATGATGACACTCTCAAATGCTCATTGGATTCTTTCATAAGAATATACTGTGCCCTGTCGAGGGTATCCGGACACCATACAGAATGGAGAGTCGTAGGCCTGGTGTGGCGTAGAACTGCCGTTGGCATGAGTAACCGCTGTGACATGTCGAGGCATCCTCTGCACTAGATCCTGACAACTTTTCAGGTGGGATCCTCCTCCATTCCGCTACTTCAAGCTCTTGTAGTTGAAAATAACTAGATGGCGCTGGGGCATGCTTTTCGAATTTGGTCCCACAGGTGTTCAATCGGGTTGAGGTTCGAGCACTGTGCAAGCCATGGCAGCAGGTTGATACCATAGGCCCAAACTATGCCCGAGTACTTCGTGCAGCATGGCAAGGGGCCTTCTCCCGCGGGAAGCATCAGATTGCAGACCAAAAAACTTCGCCATAGGTTGATTTCAAAACGGCAATTCAGTTGCAGTTCGGTTCTAGTTTCAGTTCAGACTTTGGTCTGACTAAAGTTCCGCTGTAGTCTTAGCCACTACTCACATAACAAAATCCCAACTGGAACTGCGACTGAACTAAAACTGGAACTGAATTGCAACTGAACTCTGACCGGACTGCAGTTTTGAAATCAGCCATAGTCCCTGAAACATGCTCAGCCGTGATATCCTGATGTGTACTAGCATTCAGACGCATGGGCACTTAACAAAAAGGCCCAACACCGGCTGTGCAGAGAGCAGCCCATACCATTACACCATCATCGCTATTCTTCATGGTATTGCTCCAATACACTGTGGATTGTACTCTTCATGTGGACGCCTCAAAACCCACATGCGGCCATCACTTTGGAAGAGTGTGAAGCGGCTCTCGTCACTCCAGAGTATTCCCAACCACCAGTCCGCTTTCCAGTGCTGTCGCTCCCTGCACCATGCCAAGCGACTCTGTACGTTTATGGGAGGAGAGGGGGGGGGGTTGTGCGATTTCCGCAAACCCGCCCTTCCAAAGTACCTGCATTCGTGTAGTGCAAGCTGAAGTGAAGGACGTGCAGTTCCCTCAAATAGTAGGCTGTTACATTGAGCTGGAAAGAAGCAGTAAAAACTGCGTGGATCTCATGGAGTGTTGTTTTCCAGTTTGCCCTCAAGTCTCACTTGGGCTCGTTAAAGGCGATCTGACAGCAATCGGGTCTTCCCGAACGCGGTTTTGATGTCGTTACGCCTTCCTCTCTATACCTCTTTATCGTTCCATGCAAATTATATTTCGGATGACCATTCTTTGCTGCGATTTCGCGGATTGACTTTCCACACATGTTGTAGGCAATTATGTCACCTTCCTAATGCTCATTAGATCAGTGACTGCCAGCACACAGTACCATTATGACTGTCAGACCCCCTGCGTCTGTATACTTGTGGATGTCCCTGTGTTGAAAGGAGGCGTTGTTGATAGTCCATTGCCAGCACAGAAGCCAAACAACTTTTTACAGTCCCATTCATTGTGGCTTCTCCAAAACGGCCAATCGCACCGCTCCATGTAGCTTCATCGTTCCCGACTCGTACATTTAAGTCCCCCATAAGTAAGACGAGATTGCCGTCCGGGATACCTGCTAGGGTCCCATTCACCTCTTCAAGGAACACGTCGCAGTCTGACTCGTCGTTTGGTCTGCGGACCTGAACGTTAGAGGAGACCCAATATGCTCGAATGAGAGGCGGGTCGGAGCATGGGTCGGAGCGACTCGCTCGCTGATCTGTTTCCATTCGATCACGCCGTTTGTTAATGAGTATCCCCCTCCCGTCTGGGCAAACATACGAGGGCGTTTCAAATGAAACCCGGAAAAACGTGTTTTTATAAATGAATATTAGTTCAATTTGCAATATTGCTTTTTTGACGGTTAGAATTCATGAGCTAGTACCCCTGATTAAGCTCGTCGTTTGTTTTGATACCATAGTGACTCGAGCAGAGGCAATAGAAAATGGCGGTACGACTTGACAACTACACAAGTTAAGTTTCCACTAATTGTTATGCTGCATGCTGTTGTATGCTGTACTGAAAAACCCAATCCAGCATGTTCGGCTGCGAACTCCTGGCTGCGGACGTTGCTATCGGCAAGGCAATCATTCCCACAGACTTCCCTGCGGCTGACGATGAAAGTCAACGGGTTTTTCTCCGTGTGCCGCTAGAAATTTCACCTCAGCTCTTTGCTCCTCGATTGAGACATTCATATTTTTAACCCAGTCTAGAAAAAGACACCTTAAAAAATTCATCAAAATCGTATTATCACCGCCACAGCGAGAAAATGGCTGAGGGTGAAGGACAAAGATCCAAAGACAACGACAACCACCGATTGGTCTTCATATACAGTAATTACGCACACGGCTGCCATAGACCAGCGGCACGGACTTTCTGACTGCTTTTCGTACGGTGCAGCACAGCGGGAGCCTGAACTCGGTCTGACAGT